TAGGGGCAGGGCTGGCAGTGGTGGGGTGGGAGCTGCAGGGTCACCCCTTTGGTCTGACTGTGCCTGTGTCCCTCTACACACAAACTTCTTCCAGCTGCCAGCTTGCTTGGAAGCCTGTGAGCCCCTCCTGGGTTGCTGGGGGTCTGCCCTGCTGTGCCTGGGGGCTTGGCGCAGTCCTTTTGCTCCATGTAAAGATGCAGTCTGGGTACACAGGGGCTCACCTCACTTGCTAGGATTCGTGTCTTCTCATGGGGCTGCTGGGGACCTGGTCCTTTGTCCTGGAATCTGCTGAAGTGTGGGCCCACCTTTGGAGAGGGTGGGGGTACAGTAGGAGTAAGCTCTGTGAATCTCTTGCAGGACCTTACCCCAGGCAGCGTGGAGGAGGCAGAAGAGGCAGAGCCTGATGAAGAGTTCAAAGATGCTATCGAGGTTTGAGGCTGGTGGGGGTGGGCTGTGCCTGCATGGCAGCTGAGGTGGGAAGGGGTAAAGGCCTTGGTGGGCAAGCTGGGTTCTAAGGGAGGGTGGTTGTGGGTCTGGGTGCCTCTGACTCCATCTGTACTGCCTCTCCTCTCTGTCCCATGCTGCGGGAGAAGGAGAACCAGCTGCTGGTCATGGTGAGTACTGCCATGCCAAGGTGTGCAAGAGGGACACCTTCTCCCAGTTGGAGCTGGCAGCCTTTGCCTGGTTTGCTGGTGGCTTGTGGTGATGTCAGGTGGAGCATCCTGCTTGTTGGGTGCCCATCTCTGGGGTGGGCTACCCTGCAGCCCTTGAGCGTGCCCCCAGCCACCCCTCCGTGCTCAGATGGCTCTGTTCTCTGCAGGAGGATGACGAGAGCTCTCAGTGCTCAGCAGATTTTGATCTCAGCCTCCCAGACAACGGTTTTATGAGCAAAAATGAGGTGATCCGCAGCAAGGTGTCACGCCTGACTGAGCGCCTGCGCAAGCGCTACCCCAGCAACAACTTCGGTAAGGCTGGGAGCAGGTGCTGCTTGGGGGAGCTCAGCAGAGCGGGGTCTGCGCTGTACCCAGTGGTGACCACTGAACTGGGAGTGGGGAGTGGTGTGGTACCTGCTAGGGTTGTGCTGACACCTCCTATGACCCCCTCCCTTCCGTGGAGAGGGTGTCCCCAGCCCTCCTAGGAAGGGCAAGGATGGCAAGGTGCAGCAATGTCATCTCTGAGCTGAGCCTTTACAACAGCCGTGGGTGTTCCTGTACCTCTTGCAGTCCCAGGCAGCAGAGCCCTGCCTGACCTCTGCTCTTTCTTCCAGGGAGCTGCACGGGCTGTGCAGCCACCTTCTCTGTGCTCAAGAAGAGGGTGAGTCTTCACCTTTTACCCCAGCTTGCTGCCTGCACCCGGGACAGAGGTGTTGTGTGTGTCTGGCTCGCCCTGGCTTTCTCCGGCAGCTCAAGTGGCTGGCCTCAGCCACAGCCTGACAGCAGATGACCTCAGCTAAGTGCTGGGTGTTGTCGCGTGCCTCATGGTGCCAGGGATCCCTTGTGCTGTGAAGCCTTTGTCTATTTGCTGCTTTGGAAGCTGCCTCGGGCCAGACCCGCGTGTGCTGGGGTAGAAGGCACCTGCTCTTTGCCCTGGTTTAGCCCATTTCCTCTGGCCTGAGAGCTTCCCAGTGAAGCAGAGCATCGGTGTGCTTGTGGGAACTAGGGGAGCAAAGGCCACCCCTGTTGTCTTATCTGAGCCCCTGCATGTGGTGCTTGGCGCACAGTCCCCTGGGCAGTTCTGGGAAGGGTGTATCTCTTGTCCCCTCCAGACTCATTGCTGTCTTCTTGCTGCCTCCTGTTCTCCAGACTTGTGGCCCCCTCCCCTTCCTCCCGGGTTAGTCTGATATATGTCTGGGACTCTGGAGCTTGTGTCCCTCCAGGGTTACAGCATAGGAAATGATACCGTGTCCTTAAACCTCCTGGGGCCTGTGCTCCTGCTGCTTTCTCAGTCTGGGCACAGGCTGCCTGTGGTGTTGGGTCATACCTGAATGCAGATCCAGCATTAGGTCTGGGAAGTTTGTCCAGGTGGTGGTGGCAGATGACCCCTCTGCTGCTGCTGTTGTTGTTGGGGCTCAGGGCTTGCACCCGCTCCCCTTCAGTAGGGAATGCTGTTAGCAGTGCTCTGGCACTGGAGTTTGCTGGGGAGGGCTGGGAGTGGGCCCAGAATAGTATCTCACCTCCATCTCTCTCCACAGCGGAGCTGCAGTAACTGTGGGAACAGCTTTTGCTCCAGGTGTTGTTCCTTCAAAGTCCCCAAAGCTGTGATGGGAGCCACGGGTGAGTGGAAAGGTGGAGGAGGGCAGAGCTCCTGCTGTCTGCTGCAGAGATTTGACCCAGCCCTGGCAGGGAGGGTAGATGGGACCTGCCCAGCCCAGAGTGGTGATGGGTTTGCGGCTCTCGGAGCAGCTCCGTGGCTGGGCTCCCTAGCCTGTGGTGGGGAAGGGGAGCATCTCTGACACCAGCTTTCCTTTCCAGCCCCGGAGGCTCAGCGGGAGACGGTGTTTGTGTGTGCTCTGTGCAACCAGGTGCTCAGCAAGTGACTGAAACAGGCCCAGCCAGCTCCTGGGTTCTGCACTGCCTGACAGCCAGGACAGTGGGTGCCCTTGCAGCCGGGAGCCTGGGCTGCTTGGTTCCTAGCGTGGCGTCATCCTGCCAGAGGACACTTGTGCTCTCTGCTCCTCCTGCCCATGCCAGGCCGGGGGCAGACCAGCCCTCCTTGCCACGCAGCATCTGCCGCACCAGCTGGGTCCCTGCGGCGGAGCATTGCCCACAGCTGTGGCCCCATCCCTGCAGCTGCTCCAAGCCCTGGGTGCTCCCTGGCTCTCCCTACTGTGTACTTGCCCAGGCCCTGTGGCCTGGCTCAGTGATGGAGGAGCCATCCTCCCCACTTGTGGTCCTACCTCCACCTCCTGGGTGGGGCAGAACAACCTCAGGGCTCTGTCCCTACCTTTCCCAGCACTGTGCTAGGTGACCATATTTTTGGGATCAAGTCAGAGCTCTACCTGCATCCCCAGGAGATGTGGTCTTTGGTTCTGGCTCAGCTGAGACCTTGCTAGTGACTCCTGTGCCCCTCGGCCTCACTGTCTGCAGGATTAGGCTTTTCCCCCTGCCCCCATATAAGGCGTAGCACAGAGGAGGCAAGAGGGTAAGTTTGGGCTGGGCTCTGTGGCCAGGTCTCTAGCTGCAGCCTGAGAAGAGGCACGAGTTGGTGCTGCTCTGTGCACTTAGTGACTGCTGCTTTCTACTACAGATTAATATATAAGTGTATATAGAGAACGACCAATAAATCTCTTGCCCTCAGCTGGCTCTTTTCTTGCCCCAGTGAAAGCTGTCCCATGTCACCTCTGTGGTCTTGGCCCCGCTGGTCTGCAGGTGGTCACGGAGAAACGGTGCCACCAGCTCTCCTCGCTTCCTGGGGTTTCCATCTTCCGTCACGGCTGTGGCCTTGTTTGCCCCCTGCTCAGGGCTGTGCAGCTGCCCCTCCTCGGCTGTGCCAGGGCCGGATCCTGCTGGGCTGGAGCCAGGGAGCAGCTCAGTCCTGGCAGGAGCTGCTGGGCTTCCTCTCTGCCTCCTGGGGCTGCTCCTTCCCCTGCCCAGGCTGTGCTCCCAGCAGCTGCCTGCCTGCACAAGGGTGACCTTTCCCTGTGTGAACAGCAAAGCACCCAGCTATCCCAGGAATGTGACCCTGGCTGTAGCGCAGCTGGGAACGGCCCTGGCCTGGGTCCCTGTCAGCCAGCTGCAGCACAGGGGGTGGGGGGGCTGGCCTTGCCC